AACCAAAAAAAACGAAAATCCCCAAAAAACCGATAATTAACCCCACAAATACGAAAATTAACACAACATAATTAAAAAAATACCACTCAAAACAATCAAAGCCAGTAGATCTACATATTAATCAGAATTTCATTATTTTTTTTTAAAAAACGATAATTAACCAACGAAAATTAAAAGAAATATATAAGTATACAATTGTCTAATAAAATTTATAAACTAACATTACAATTACATACAAAATAAACTAGATCTACACTCTAAATTACAAGATCTAAAAAACAAAAACCTTGAGACTGGGTGGCTCGCGACGGTGGTTGTTGGCTTTGTTGTTGTTGCGCCGTTGTTGTTGTAGTTGATGTTGGTTGTTGTTGTTGACGGTGCTTGATGTTGGTGGTGAACGGAGGGAGAAGAGGAAAAAGACAAGAGAAAGAGGAAGGAGAATGAGAAGAAGACCGAGAAAGATGAGTGAGGGCAAGAGAAGGAGAAGAAGACCAGAGAGAGAAGAGGAAAGAGAAGAAAGAAGAGAAACAGATAGGAGAGGAGTGAGAAGTCTAAGAGGAGAGGAGAGGAGAGAGAAAGGGAAGAGAAGAAGAGAGAGGGGGAAATAAGGGAGTAATGGCTGGAGACATAAATAGGGTTTAGATTATTTTTTTTTAATAGTTTCGACTGAAATTTGATGGAAAATCCATTGGAACTTTAGAATTCCGACGGAAAACATTCGTCGAAACTTTCCGACGGAAAACATCCGTCGGAACTTTCCGACGAAATTAAAATCCATCGGAAATTACTTATTTTCCGACGGATTTTTAATTCCGTCGGAATATTCCGACAGATTTTCGACGGGATACTTGAATTCGTCGGAAATTTCCGACGGAATTAAATTCGTCGGAAATTTTGGTTTTTCCGACGGATTTTTGTGTTCGTCGGAACGTTTTCGTCGGAAATTGACTGTTTTCTAGTAGTGATAAACTTGTAATACTTCAAGGGGAAAGGGAGGATATCCTAGACTCCTGACCATAGGTTTTCAAGTATCATCCACACCCAACAAAGCATCGTCCAATTTGTCATAACCTAGAAAGGAGAAAAATGACTGCGAGGCGAGCAGAATCTTACCAACCTCATGAGTCGAGCATAAAAGCATGGCAGAGAGCTGAGCATTCCCTATAACATATAACCCATTGGGAAGCCATGTTTTGGGAGAATAGGACTCACCCTCAAAATGATCAAAGGCCTAAGCTTCTTTGGCAGCGTCAGCTGCTTGCAGAGTGACACCTCCCATATTTGATCTAACACGGCAGAAAGAACGAGGACACCTAAAGTCAGCAAGGACTCGCAGCCAGAAGAACTTTTCCTGCCAATCCTTGAAGCAACCCAGCTTAGGGTAAGACAAAACTCTCTTGGGTTTAGGTGCAAGATAAAACCAGCCAGAGTCGACGCTTGAGGCACTTTGTTTAAAGCTAAATAGTTGGTGGAATAGAGATAACGACTCTGGAAAGCGTTTGAAACGCACTGTCCAAAGTAAACATATCAAAGTGTGCAGAGAAGTAGGAAGATTAAGGAAACATGAATGTTGAAAGCACGAAGCAATTTGTCCAAGGTAGGGTCCAAATGAAACCTCAGCCCCACATCTAGCTGAGAAGCGAAAACGGCATAATCTTTTCCCAGCCCGTAGAAGGTTTTACTGCACTCTACTAACTTCAAACAGGCAACCAGCATCCGCCAATCAGAACTCAGAGAGCAAAGACGGGGACCATTAGCTTTATCATCCAAATAAAAGGTAGGATCACCTAGAGGGACCACCTCATCTACATACCAAGGCTGACATGCATTTAAGGCAGCATCTCGAGGAGATTGGGGTTGAGGAGCAGCTATGGAAGTATCAACAGGAGTGGAGATGCGCTCTACATAATGAATAAAACGGTGCACATTAGATATATCGTCCAACCAAGCAAATTTACGCAAAGGAAATACATCAGGAAAGGGGCTCTCAGGGGTATCGACAGGAGGGTTAGCCTTGACCTCGGCTGCCAGTTGTGCACGGCGAGCAGCGCATAGCTGCAGACGTAACAAGTGAGGCAGCACACCCCCTAGTCATTAGGACCCTCTCGCAGTAAGGGTCGAAAGTATCGCTGCGCACCCTACCACGAAGATAGGGATGAAACGCACTAGGATCAGAGTGTCCACCGTTGGGCTCAGTGGCGCAAGCAGAAGCGCCAGCGACGGACACACCCCCCACTAGAGCATTGCAGTGGGAAGGAAACACAACTTGGAGAGGGGAACAAGAAATGGGAGAAGAAAAATGGACAAATGGCCTAGAAGGCTCACCTGAGCGAGTTGACTCGGAAGAAGAAGCAGACTTAGACTCGCCACCATCGTCGTAAAAGCGGGCGGAATCATTCTGACTATCAGAAGCGTCCGACATGGCAAAAAAGATTGAAACTTGGAAAAAGAAAAAAGAGCAAAAAGTTCTAATAAAGAGGCAACAAAAATAATCAATAAAAGAATGAATAGTAGAAATACAATGGCAACAAAAATGACAACAACAGAGCGAGAATTGACCTTTGAACAAGAAAGGAAGTATACAGGGGCTAATTAATAACACAACAAGGGGAAAAAGGACATCTTTGGAAAAAAGCATACTCAATTTTACAAATGAAAATACAAAAGTGGTGGAAGAAGGTTTAAGGACGGTGCCTTGTGTGGAACAAACAACAAATGTGGAGCAAACACAGGCTAGTTCACGACGAACTTGCGGCAAGCAACACCCAAGAAAATTGCAAAACCCAGAGCAAGAGAAGTATTAAAAGAGAGGAAATTGAGACATTAGAGCGAGGAGAGAGTAACTGGAAAAAACAAGTGAGTGAATGAGAAAAGAAGGAGGAACAATGATTTCGAAATTAAGATGAAAACTGGTTTAGTGAAAACACGGAATACGAAAAGAGGAGAGAGGAAACTGAATAAGGGCATTAAATGGCAGTTACCTACCCAACAAAGAGAGATAACCACCCACATAACATAGCCACGTCGTAAAAAAAAGAAAAAAAAAAATATTAGGGAGGAAAGAAGAGAAAAATCAGTCTGACAAAGTTAAAGCTCCTTACTCAGCCTCAGCTTGTCACTTTGAAATAACTTCAACGAGAGTCAAAGCTCCTCACTTTGAAATAACTTCACCGGGAGTAATCAAAGCTCCTCGCTCAGCAACAGCTCGTTGCTTTGAAATAATTTCAGCGGGAGTAATCAAAGCTCCTCGCTCAGGCTCAGCTCGTTGCTTTGAAATAACTTCAGCGGGAGTAATCAAAGCTCCTCGCTCAGCCTCAGCTCGTCACTTTGAAATAACTTCAGCGGGAGTAATCAAAGCTCCCCACTCAGCCTCAGCTCATCGCTTTGAAATAATTTCAGCAGGAGTAATCAAAGCTCCTCACCCAAACAGTTAAGCATAACGCACCTCACCAGCAGAACTCTATGTGCCTCAAATTAGTTGAGTGTAGATGTGAGACTCAGGGGGGCTAGTTGTATGAGGAGGGTTTCTGTCAGCAAATCCAGCTAAGTAATGACCTGGCTGAAGTTAAATACTTGGAAGAGCTGGCATGGGTCCCTCATACCACCTCTTAGGGGACTAGTTGTATGGGATAGCTTCGGCAGAGCTCTTCTCATGCTCCTAACCTCATGGTAGAAGAACGTCTCCAGTCAGCAAGAGCTGGTCTGAGTTCCTCAAACCACCTTTTAAGGGGCTAATTGTATAGGGTAGTTCCCGTTGAGCTGCCCTGTGCTCCTAGCATTACTTGAGGGGTGCGCACTCAAGCCAGTCCACTTCAAGGCAAGGAAAAACCCTCTAGGGGGCTTAGCCTCATGGCTGACCCCAGGGGGCTCCATCTCAGAGTCAGGGATAATCTCCCAGGGGCTCAGCGCTAGGGTTGGCCTCAGAAGGCTTCAGCCTGCAGAACCAAGAATAGAACAACTATAAATAGTAACTCAAGTACAACGAAAAAAGAGGTTACACACACATCCATCTTTTATCACTTACCCATTATTATCCAATACCTTACTAACTTAAGCATCGGAGGGGGGTTCCTCAAAACCACCCTTGAGGGCATAACCACTGTTCATTATGCAAGTAATCCCAGCCAGCATCCAGGACCAGGCACCAGCTAGGCTCCGGAACTACACCCAGAAAACCCAAAATTTAAAATTCAACTTAAATATAATTTTCAAAGCAATGTTAAATAGGGTAGCTCAAAAGGACAAAAATAATATGACATCATTCTAGCATTTTGGCGGGAAAAAAAAATTAAATAAGAGAGTTACACGTAGGTAGTGATGACATCAACGGTTGTTATTTTAGTAATATTTATTGATGCTTTATTTTTCTTATATGTAAATACTTAGAGCTTGTCCTTGGGTGTCAAGACCGTCACATTGCCAAAGAGGTATTGCTCAATTTTTTTCTTCTCTCTTTTTTTTACATTATTATTATTTATGAAGACCAAGTATCACGCTGAGGGCTACGCATAAAGTTTAAGGTTATTTTCCTCAATGATTTTTGAGAGGGGAGAAGTTGGCGCATATGGCTTATGTATTTGGTATGCAAATAAGATGGCAATTTTGTAAATAATGGGAACCTGAGAGTGGAAAATATGATGGAAAAAAGTACTACTAAATGCATAATAATACACAAAAAGTACTATTCATACAACTTATACTTTAATGATACATTATATATGCATAATAGTACACAATAATGTACTAGTGTACCATTAAGAGAAAGAAAATGTACACCGAATCCTAGATTGCTCTCCTATGTGCAATCCAAATATATATGCCCTATGTTCCTAAATGCACTGAGGTGGACATGCCTGAAGGCCTAGCTATCCAACCGATTGGACCCCATAGATTTTGTTTCTTTTCCTTCTTGATTTCCATATGGTGAGCTGGTTTGATTTCGAAACCTTTTGTTTAAGTACTATGGGCTGTCGAAACCTTTGCTTGTTTTATCTCACAAGTTTCCTTTTTTGGATAAAAAATGCCGAAGGGAGAGCGCGGCTCAGCCCAGCAACGTGATGTGGCGTAGATGGCTAGCACAGGGGTAATCCAGGCATTTTGCATGGGTTATTATTGTATTTGAATACACCATACATATAAATATACACATATTATAGAATTATCTACCCGTTTGCTTTAGTGTTTCCCGTTTTTCTTCTTCCTCAAATTTTTTTTTGATTTCCCACTCTGTTCTCTCTCCTCTATACTACTCTTGTTCTCCTGAGCTTTGTTCAACAAATTCCAGTGCCTTTTTTAACAAATCCCATAGCAATGTTCAACCATCCCATCTTCCCCAAACTGAAGGTTGCTCCTTGGTTATGGCTTTGAAGTTTGGTACCACAATGAAGCGGAGACGAGGTAAGGGTTTTTCAATTTTTGGTTTATTTTCTATGCAATTTAGGGTGTGGTAATATGCGGATTATGATTTGGTAAATGCCAAATTCTGATTAACGGGTTATTTAGAGTCCTAATTATCGCGGACTTAGGGTTTTAATGGAGTAAAATGCATGCTTGGTTTCAAAGTGTTTTTGGTCTAAATTGCAAGGTTTTACTATGGATGAATTGCCTATTGTGTTAGTTTTGCGAATTTCTGGTTTAGGGTTACTTAATTGTTACGAATTTAGGGATTTAGGGTTCTAGGGTTTTCGCTCGTTTCATGCAAGCTAATATAGTTAAATTTGAGTTTGAAGTGGTTGACTTATAGTTGAGTTAAGTTTAATTTACTCGAATTAAGTTTAATATACTCGAATATACTTTAATTTAGGTAATGTTGAACTTTTTGTTGAATTTTGGTGCGTTTTTGTGTGATTTTAAATTTTGGTTCCATTATGGTGGTTGTCTTTTTGATGATGCGGTGGAGGAGGCATGGTTTTGCGTGGTTGTGCAAATTGGTGGTGTATTTTTGTGGTGAGAGATGGTGATGGCTAGTGGTCTTAAATGTTGCTGCTGTTGGCGGAACAAAGGGGGGGAAACATGACTTTCAGTTTTTTAGAATTAGCCTGGTTGTGCGAATTCACTTGCTCAGCTTCATAAAGAGCAGAAGAGTTCAGGAAGTCAACACAAAGTTAAGAAGCAACATAGACATAGTACTGTCACTGAAGGGACAGTTGATTTTGTAGTAACTCAGAGAAAAGATGGCTTGGTGGCTAAGGATTCAAGCACTAGCAAGAGGAAGGACGTTCAAGGGGTGAATAAGAGTGAAAGAGAAGGCAGAAGTATTGAGGTTGATGGGGAGACAAAGAGGCATAAGAGCAAGAACAGGGGAGAGGAAGATGAGGGAAAACATAATGCAAGGGGGAGTGCAATGAAAATGGAAGTTCAGGTTTCTGATGGGATTGCGGATGGAAATGTGAAAAATGTAAGAGAGGCTGGGAGAAGTCGAAGATAAAGAGGGAAAATAGTGAAAGTGGCGTTGTTACAATTAAAGATCAACCTTATAAACCTTGTCTGAATTTTAGAACATGTTCCTCTTAGTATTATAAACTTTTTCTGAATTTTTGTAACTTTCGACGTGTGTTATTTCATTTGTTTCAAATCAATTTTTCAGCCATGATAGCTGCCCATCAATTCATTCCAGACTGTAAAACATGTATGTTTTAGGGTTGTTTTGTGAAGGGGAAACCGAGCCATTTAATATTTCTCTATTTATATACATCATTTTCTTATATGGTACGTACGGAGGATCCTAAGATTCCTAATTGAATCTCAACCCTTGAGTTTCGTAGTCCACTTCTTAATTGATCGGACATCCCTCCTTGTTAATACAAAATACTCCATAGTAGTTACTAAAGTTGGAAGCTAACAGTTGCAGATTATCTATACTTAGGCTGGTAAATAATTCCAATGGAAACAGGTTGTTCAATTTGAAATGCTGTCAAAGGTTTAATGTATCACAAATAGGTGGCATGCCTTTCGGGCCTGCAGATTACGCCATAGCTTCGTGATGGTCTGTGAACATTAAAGGTGATTCATGCATAATAAGATAAACATCTACCCGTTTGCTTTAACTTAGCTAATTAACAAACCAACAAATAAGTTTATTAAATGTCACACAATTATGAAGTTGAACAATATAGTTTGGGCATATAAGAAAACAAAATAGAATTAGCTAAATTAGCAGAAGTAACATCTAAGAAACCTCAAAGTTTCAGACCAGGGTGACCTTAAGGAAGAAATGAATCACGTAACACTGCCTATGTCTAACTTTTCATTTTCACATTTTCTTAGCATACTCTGAAATCTTGTATTACTCTAAAATTGTTTCCTTTGTTGTATGTGCAGGGGGAACATTTGAAGTTTGTAAAAGTAAAAAGCGTAAACAGAAAGGCGTTGATTACGAGGACGATTCAATGTCCAAATCTGATTATGAATTCCGTCCTGATTCAAATTCAGAATCTGTAGGCTCGAGTGCAGTTTCGAAAGTATGACTAGTGAAGTTGTAGCCTTGCATGAGGAAATTGAGAAGCAAAAAAAAAAAAAAATGGAGATGGAGATGGAAAAACAAATGGGGAAGCAAAAATTGAAGCAAAAAATGATTACTGTCGACAAAGAGGATTACAGTGTATGCATTATTTGTTTTTAATGCAACTTTAATATTGTAATTTCTACTTTGCATGGCATTTTGAAGAGGTAATTAATGCAACCTAGCATGCTGGATCTGTGTAGGAACGGAGCCAGAATTCGAAGCTTGTTCGCCTTAAGAAAAATCCTCGAATACCTAGAGTGAAACCAAATCGTGCTACAAAGAAACTTGATCCTGTTGTGTTTGTGGTGAGTGCATCTTTGTTCCACTATTGTGGATGTTATGTACTTATACTGTCATTTTATTAAATTATACTGTAATTTTAATAACTTATACTTTCATTTTAGTAACTTATACTGTCATTTTATTAACTTAGTAACTAATACCGTTATTTTATTAACTTATATTGTCAAAGTAAAATTTAAGTTAACATATGTTGGTTATTTAACTTGTTAAAAAGACAATATAGGTTTATCAAAACACCATATAAGATAAGCTTGTAAGAATAAAATAATTCATAATCATCAATTACGTGCATGTGCATGTAAGCCTCTGAGATATTGATTTTAATGCAAGTGCATACACTAGTAGAAAATCATAAATTTGCACCGAGGAATGCGCAACAAATTTTAAAAGCCAGTGCGAAAAAAATTTAGCGGGATTAATGAAAGAGCAATTGTAGTGGTTTAAACCAAACCGGTGCGAACTTAAGGTATTTGCACCGGTTCTAACCGGTGCAAATTTTAAAAAAATAAAAAATAAAAAAAACCCGCCTTTTTCCTTCTTTCTCTTTCTTCCCGTTGGATTTTTATATGCATTTTCCCACTTTCTTTCTCTTTCTTGTTCCCTCTTCATTCTCCCTTCTCACAGCAGCTCGACCACAACCTCCTCTTTTGTTTATTGTAACTGGATATACTCGTATTCTTTCTTTTGCTTCTTTTGTTTATTGTAAGAGGATAATTTGAAAAGTGTGGGAGGACAAGTAAAAGAGGCTGGCATAGTTGTAGCAACCTTTACAAGTATAAGAAGGTGAATACTTGTTAATATTAAACATTTGTAATATTTTAGATTGTTGAGTTCTAAATGTGGAGGTTTATTTTTTGGTGTCTTTCCCTTTTGAAGGCAATGTCGAATGTCAATTGTGCCATTGAGAGTTTAGAAAGGGTTGTTGCTAAATTTTATGAAACCAAGAGGCACATTGTTACGAAAATGGGGTTTGGAAAACTGCTCTTTGCTACTAGGAAAGAACATCCACGACAGTGTTTGTGTTGGATCGGTCAGTACAAGAGTAGATCTAAAGAATAAAATGTTGGTGGCAGTGGATGGACAACAAATCCCGTTGAATGCGATCTAGGTCCATTGGGTTCTTGGCCTTCCATATGGGAAAAGAGCACTTCCGATGAAGCTTGTACATAAGGCTTTAAGGATCGTTTGTATCAAATGTATAGCACAGCTACGAGGAGCGGCACAACTGGAAGTTATAGGAAGACTCACGTAGAAGCAGTTGAGGGCCTGTTAGTTGATGAGAGTGAATTCAAGAAGGTTTTTTTAAATGTTGGTCCTAAATATTCTATGTTCAACAACTTGTCATCGAAGAAGAAGTAGTTGCACGCAGTTGCCGTGGCTGACAATGCAGACAAGTATGATATGATTGGTGTACAATTGTTTTGGATGAGTTGCTACAATCGTTAGATAATTTCAGTACGAGGTTTTATGCGAAGGGGTGGGCTCCTTGTCTCGGTGGCTGTACATTTGTTTTTTTGTCGGTAAGCATAGGATTTTTTTTACAAAATCAGAATTTGTTATTTTACATTGTATCGATATGATATGTTATGTCACATTGTTATTTTACAATTATCATTTTTTTACAAATGCAGGTCTTGTATTTAGATAAACTTAAGAGGATTCCAGTCCAGGGGATGTCTTCCCACGAATAAAAGTGTGGACTACGGAGGAGATGAGGAAAGCGGCCAAGGACGATAAGTTACCCGGCAGTGATTATGGTAAACTAAGGGTTAGTGTTGTTCAAATTATAAATTATTTGTTATTAATTATTGAATACTAATACTTGTTGAAATTAGGGTGAATGCATAAAATACTAATTGAATACTAATACTAAGACATGTTATTCTGTGCTTGGGCATGAAGAGGTGGCATACGGAAAACTAAGCACCCTAAACAACCAATGGATAATCTCCCCAGTCGACGAAGGCATTTAAAAAGAAGAAATGATGAGGAGTCTGATGACACTGAGTAAGAGTTGGGAAAGCTTAGAGAAGAAGCTTGGAATGGGAGTATCAAGAGTGTACTCCAAGGAACTATTCCGAAGAGTTTTTCAGAGTTTCTCTTCCCATTCCTTGAAGTTGACCAAGCTAAGGCTAAAAGTCAACTTGTCAAGGAGTTCCGGGCACATAGAGTTATTATTGATTGAGTTACTTGCAGACATATTTCTACAATTGAGAGAATTTGAAATGAAAAACCATTCATAATCCAACAAGTTTGAAATATAAAGCATTCATTCAAATTTTCAATCTTATTGAACATTTTATCCACGCATTAACATTAGTCCCTTTTAGTCGAGAATAAAATGATTCCAAGATCCCAAAAATTAAAAAGTTATTAAGCATGCTTTGGTTTGTCTTAACACTTAATATTTTAGGGTAAGCAATCCAATTGCTAATAGTTCCAAGTTACTCTTGGTTTGATAAAACGTTGCATCTAATGCTTCCTTGATATTTTATCTCCATTGCCATGACATTTAGGGACTTCTTACTGATATCGTTGAGCTTAACGAAGACAACTTGTATACCTAGTATACCTTACGTTCCTAGGGAAGCGGTGATGCCTCGCTTTGGCGTAGCCCATCACCATGCGTACAATTCGGTAAGTGTCGTTCTTGTAATGGGAAATTTGGCTCAGTATTATAGGGACCTAGGGTTTCTATGTTGGTTGATTTAAGTAAACTTAATTAATCATCGCAACATTTGAAATCCTAAACATGCATCTATCATACAATTCAAGCATATATAAACATAATATATATAAATCATAAGTATAAGATGTATTCGGCAACTAGCATGACCCCTTGAGTCTTCAAATCTTCAAGGGTCTCCGATGCAACTTCTTGGCTTGTCTTCTTAGAAACGCCGTCTTCTTAGAAACGCCGTCTTCTAGACATCTCCGCCAACTATGCAACTACTAGCTACTACGACTAGGAATAATCTAAATATTAAGGTACAAAAATACGCAACGGTACACAGACCGTATTTAGATTTACAAAAATACATAACAGATCGCAGTCCGTATTTACTATCTTAGTCGGGCTCCACTAGTTGCCATTTTCACAAAACCTGTGGAACAATATACATTCCATTCATCCATTCACCCCTATGTGAATGGCCCATGCATTTTACAACGATAAACAAGTAATAATGCATAACACGCGCAAACTAGTAACTAACTTAGGTAGTTAATCCAATTAACGTGCCTAATTAAAACTAGTCAAAGTTGTTAAACATTTTATGTGATTAAGACACAATTAGTACAAGTAATTAACAAAGCTCCCACTAAATTCTGCATCCAACTTAATTAATCCAATTAATTAAGTCGTTTGACCCAAATTTTGTCAAAATATTTTTGCAAGTGCCGGAGTTAAAATAATTAAATAAAATAATTAAAACGGCCCTAGTTACGCACAAAAATAGCTCACAACATGCCCCAAGTGCCTAGCATTAAAGCCACGGGGCTAGGCTTGCTAGGCACTAAGGCCGTGGCTCGCTTGCCTAGGGTGCTGGGCTGGCCACCATGGCTGCCTTGCAGCCCCTAGGTGTCGTGGCTATGCGTGCTAGCACGCCAACCTAGCAGAGCACGCCAAGCTTGCTAGCACCACACGCATCGCAGCAAGCTACGCATGCTTGCGTGCATGCTGGTGCTGGCAGCATGCGCTGGGCTTGCTGTGGCTCGCATGCCATGCTGCCCAACATCACTTGTGGGCACCGGCTCACAACACACGCATCTTTGACGCACAGCTCATAGCACCTAGCGCAGCCTTGCACACACATCGTAGCACAATGCACCACACTTGCACACACTAGCGCATCTCTGAGGCAAGGCAGCCCATCACGCACCTTGGCAGCCACATGTAGGCTGCTTGAGCAGCCCGGCTAGCCTAAGGGCGTGTCTTGGGAGATTTTGCCTCGATTTGCGTGAACTTGCCTCGGGATTTTATTTCCCGATTTATGTGTGATAAAAAATTAATTCTAAATTTATTTGAGAACCAATTATTTATTTGAGAACCAATTTAAAGCAAAATTAAAATAAAACTAGTCCAACTTAATTAAATTCAATTTTAATAGTGCACAAGCCTAAATTATTCAAGAACCGTTCTTTAAATAAATTTAGTTTTATCTTGATGCTTGCTCCAAAATGGAAAGGGGTTTAACAAAGGGGTTAGCAAGAAGAGTAAGGGCAAGAAAGTTGCCAAGGCTCCAGAAAAGCCTAAGTCTACTCCAAAGCCCAAGGCAGCAGGTGAAAGCGAATGCTTCTATTGTAAGAAAAAGGGGCATTAGAAGCGCAACTGCCAGAAATACCTCGACTACCTAAAGAAGAATGGAGCATCAACCTTAAGTATAATGCTATAAATACATTTTAACTTCTACTTAGGTATGTGACACCAAGTTGTAGTGCTAACATTATTTATGTTCTGCAGAAACTGCAAAGAAGTAAGGCTAGCATGGAAATGGAGCTTGAAGGAAAACGAGAAGTGTTCTAGTGGCCAAAGAAAGCTTCTTAGTTTGATTTCAATTTTATGAAACATTAGACTTGTTATTTCCAGTTTTGTTAAGACAATTTCAGTTGTTTTGGAATATTTTTCTTATCATAGACAAGTGTTGTTCCTTGATAAGGTAATAAAATGTCTTTCATTTGCGTTATGAGTTAATTTTGTTTTAAGTAGATCACAAAAGCAATGAATAAATGGTTCAGACCCAACCTACCTATGGCATTATAGGTTAGGCCATATTAACCAAACGCGCATCTAAATATTACACAAGGATGAACTCCTTTCCTCATTTGATTATGAATCATTTGAGAATTGTGGGTCATGCTTGTTAGGAAAAATGACCAAATCACCTTTTACCGGAAAAGGTGAAAGAGCTAATGACCTTTTGGCACTCATACATACAGATGTTTGTGGGTCAATGAGTTCAAAAGCTAGAGGTGGGTTTAACTTCTTCATAACTTTTACTGACGACTTAAGTAGGTTTGGTTATGTTTACTTACCAAAGCAAAGTCGGAATCCCTTACAAAGTTCAAGGAATTCCAGAATGAAGTTCAGAACCAACTTGGCAAGACGATTAAAGCACTAAGATCTGATCGTGATGGATAGTATATGAGCCAAGATTTCAATGATCATCTTAGGGATTGTGGAATGCTTTCACAATTAACTCCTTCTGGAACACCACAATTATACGGTATGTTAGAAAGGAGAAATCCAACTTTGCTAGACATGGTTTGATCTATGATGAGCTCTGCAAAAGTACTAAACAGAAGCTCATCGAAAGCACTGGAAAAGACTCCATATGAGTTATGGAATGGAAAAGTTCCATAGTTGTCATTTCTCAAGATTTGGGATTGTGAAACTTATGTAAAACGTTTACAAAGCGATAAACTAAGTCCCAAATCAGACAAATGTTTCTTTGTGGGTTACCCCAAAGAAAAAAGAGAGTATTACTTCTACAATCGCAATGATAACAAAGTGTTAGTTGCACGCGATGGTGGCTTTCTAGAAAAGGAATTTTTTTTCTATACAGCCAAGTGGGAGTAAAGTGGTACTCGAAGATTGACAAAGGCGAGGGTACATGAGGATAATACCACGTCAAAGGCGAGGGTACATGAGTCAACTCAATTGACAAACCATGCATCGGATCAAGCTAATTCAACTAGCGAAAACTCCTATCGTCCCACTTGAATTTAATTCATGCGAAAATCTTCAAAGAGTTAAAGAGAATATTTCTACTATTGCTCCAACCCCACGTAGGTCAGTCTAAATAAAAAGCATACAGTTTGTTGATGTTTTGTCAACTGTAGATTCTGAAATTTTCCTATTAGAATACGCGGAACCTACAACCTACAAGCAAGCTTTGGCGAGCCTTGACTCTGAAAAATGGCTTTAGGCCATGAAATCCGAAATAGACTCCATGTCTAAAAATGATGTGTGGACCCTAGTAGACTTTCCTGATGTGGTAAAACCTATTGGTTGCAAATGGGTATACAAGATCAAGACAGACAAAGATGGGAATGTCTGCATCTATAAAGCAAGACTGGTCGCAAAAATCTTCAAGAAAATTTATGGCATTAACTATGATGAAACCTTATCCCAAGTAGCAATGCTTAAGTCAATTCGAATCCTTGTAGCGGTTGCTGCATTTTTCGATTATGAAATTTGGCAGATAGATGTCAAAACCGCCTTCTTGGATTGGTTCTTGACGAAGGATGTGTATATGACACAACCTGAGGGTTTTAAAGATCTAGAAAATCCTGGAAAGGTTTGTAAGCTTTTGAAATCAATTTATGGATTGAAGCAAGCATATCGGAGTTGGAACATTCACTTCGATGAGGCAATCTAACAGTTTGGTTTTCTCAAGAGCAAAGAAGAACCTTGTGTTTACAAGAAGGTTAGTGGGAGCAGCCTTGTCTTCCTAGTCTTGTATGTAGATAACATCTCATAAGAAACAACATACCAATGCTTGAGTCAGTCAAGGAGTGGTTGAGAAATTGTTTCTCGATGAAGTACTTGGGAAAGGCCAAGTACATTTTGGGAATTAAAATCCATCGAGATAGATCTCGAAGAATGATTGGACTAAGTTAAGAGGCTTTTATTGATAAGGTTCTCGACAGGTTCGACATGAAGGATTCCAATAGAGGATTTCTTCCTATGTCTCATGGTATTACGCTCAGTAAAACTCAGTGCCCTCAAAAGCCAAAAGAGTTGAAGTGTATGGCTAATATACCTTATGCCTCGTCGATAGGGTCTATTATGTATGCCATGATATGTACAAGGCCAGATGTCTCATATGCCTTGAGCATGTGTAGCAAATTTCAGGCAAATCTAGGTGAAGTACATTGGACTGCAACTAAGAATATACTAAAGTACTTGAGAAGGACTAAGAGTATGTTCTTAGTATATGGTTGTGAAAGTAAATTGGTTTTCAAAGGCTATAGAATGCAAGCTTCTAAATAGACAGAGATGACTATCGATCTCAATCAGGGTACATTTTCTGTATGAATGGAGGAGCAGTGAGCTGGAAGAGTTCGAAGCAAAGCACTATCGCAGACTGTGCGATGGAATATGAGTATTTGGCTGCTGTCAAAGCAGCTAAGGAAGGCGTTTAGATTGAGAAGTTCCTCACAAAGGTAGATATTGTACTTAGTGTTCAGGAGGGAATTGATTTGTTTTGTGATAACAATGGTGCCATTGCTCAATCAAAGGAGCCAAGGTCACATTACAAGTCCAAACATGTAATGAGAAAGTATCATCT